ATTTGCGAGTAGTGTTTTCGCTCAGTCTTGTCCTTGTCATTTCATTTGCCTAATAGGATTTTATTTATTTATTTATTTATTTATTTATTTATTTATTTTTTTTTTTTTTGTAGAGGAAAAGGTTTTAATTTTGTTGAGGTCCATTTTATTAGCTTTTATATTTAGAGATTGTGGTTTTGGTGTCAACGCTAACAATTCTTTGCTTGAAGACTTTCTGTTATGTTTTTCCTAGAAGTTTGATTGCGAATTTTTTGGCCATGAGCCATTTATTTGAGTTAATTATTGGAAACTTAAAGTAACTGTAATTATTTTATTTATTTTTTAATTTTTTTAAGGTATTTGGTACAGGGTTTCACTACACAGCTCAAACTTGTAGTGATCCTCCTGTTTTCAACCTCCCCAGTGCTGGGATTACAGGCATGGGCCACCACACCCAGATTTGGTCACCCACTCAGCACGCCCCACAGGGCAGGGCTGGAGATGGAACCCTGGTCCTTGCGCTTGCCAAAGCAGGCACTTAGTCTACTGAAAAATTATTTTAAATGAAGTAAAGTCACGGTCTCAGCCTTTCATTCATTGTGCTCTTGACCTATTGTGTAAGCTAACAAAATCGAATCTGTGAGTAGCCTGGCATTTAAAGAGGAGTGGGTGAGTCTGGTGGGCTACTGAAAGTAATTTAATATAAAAACCCAGTGAACTGGCCAGGTTCACTTAATGTTGCAGCCTTTCGTTACTGAGTGTCCTTAGGTGGGGGGATTTCTTCTTTGCGTTGGGCAACTTCATCGATGTTCTTAATTTTATATTTTGGGCAAGTGAAGACAGGCCTGAGGACAGTTCCTGTTTCACAGTATTGTGGGAGGAGGACAAGTCAGAGAGTAGGCAGTGTGCATTCAGCTTGCATTTTCTAAGGTCTTCTCACCTGCCCTCTGGACTTGAGGCCGCCAGAGGACGTTTGAGGAGCGCCTCAGCTCAGGCCATGGACTCTAAATTTGTTGGCTTCATACTGTGACTCCACCACTTCCCAAGCAGCTCTGTGACTTCACCTCTGCGTCGCAGTTTCTCGTCCTTAAAAGGGGAAAGTTGTCACGTAAGGTTGTGAAGTTCCCCTAGGGACTCGCTGCGACCTGTGTTGCGCACACAGTACCACAGTATGCACTGAAGGACGCTTGGCAGTTCTTCCTACAGCCCCAATTTTATGTGAAGGTATGTGGATGGCCTGTTGTTTTCATTATACGTGATTCTATGTATTAGGCAAAGAATACCAAATTTAAATATTTTATAATATTTTAAAAATAGTAGAAGCTTTAGACAAACTTCATCAAACTCAGTTTGATCCATGTTTGTACTGGATCAAATCAGAAAGAAGTGCCTCAATACTAGACATGTCCAGACCTTTTTATCTTGTTTTATTTCCTAAGTAATATAATGTAACAACTGTTTACACAGTACTTACATCCTTTTGGGTATTGAAGTCTTCTCGAGATTCTTTGAAATACACTGGGGCGTGCAGTGGGCTTAATGCAGCTGCCGTGCCATTCACATAAGGAGCTTGAGTATCTGCAGACTGTTTGTCAACGTGGACCCTGGCCCGGTCCCCTCTTGAAGCCCGAGGACAGTTTGTAGTTCACGGAGGCCCTGTGGGCTTCCAGGATGGAGTGTGCTCTCCCGGGTCAAGCAGCGCGTTCCGAAAACCCGGAAAAGAGCACTGCTCAGTCACGTGTCCTCATTAGACCTCCAGCTCTTTGCTTCTTTCTAGGCTAGACACTTCTCTCATTTATAGATAAAGCTTCCGGGCCCCCACAGTGCCCTCCCCAGACACCTGGCTCCTTCACGTCCCTACCAGCTTGTGGCTGGGGGTGAGCCTTCCTCCAGGCCAGCCTGCTCATGCAGAGTGCCACATGCAGATGTCAGAGCAGCCTCTTCAGGAAAAGGGTCAGCTCAACCCCACCCCGGCCCCCACCCTCCACCCCCACCCCCGTGTAGATATTGTATAGAGAATGTCTTTAAGAAAGACTTGTCTTTGGTCACAAGGAAAGCAGTCTTTTAAAACCTGTTACCTTCATCTTGTTACCCAACGGGCTCCTAGACATTTCTGATCCTGCTGTTTAGTTTTCCATTTAAATCTGTTTTTTTTTTTTCCCAATGCTGGGGATGGGACTCCTCTCTACATATGGGTGCAAGTTTAAAACCTTTCAGGCTTTTCTGGAGAAAGGTTGATAACTCTTCTCTTTATTGAGAAGAAATGTTATTATGATAACTAAAGCAGGAAAAAAACTAAGTACAGCGGAATTAGGCTTTGAAGTAGAATGCGAGAAACAGTTTTTGAACATTTTATTTATATGTTTGCAGTACTTAACGACTCCGTTCCTCTCAGGGAGTTGGCATGTTTATGTGACCCATAAAAAATGAGCACACATCAAAAATGTTACTTAGCTGATTTTAATTCTTTTTACTTGGCCTTCCCCTTTTCTTCCTCCCCCAGTTCCTAGTGACTGGAAGGACATACTAGACACTTTAGTGGATTTTATTTAGGTTATTGTAATAAGGAGAATGTTCCCTAATGGGAAATCGCTGAAAGAGGAGGGGCAGGCAGTAGGATTTTAGAGAACATGGATGAGAAATGGCTCTTTCTGGTTCTTTCTTACAATCTGAAGGGTGTGGTGCTTCTTAACCGTTGCTTCTCTCTGGCGCTACAGAAAAGTTTTAACATTTAGAGCAAGGTTTCTAATTATCTGTGTCAATTAATTATGTTGGAGGACCAGCCTGATCGCCCAGCGGGCCACAGCACCAGCTTAGGCAGAGTGCAGACACGGGGCTTCGATGCCTGTAATCCCAGTGCTAGGGAGGCTGAAAACAGGAGGATCACTACATGTCTGCTCTGTAGAGTGAGACCCTGTAGAACCAGTGCTAAGTTACATTTTAAAAATTAAAAAAATAAATCATGTTGGGTGCACACTTCAGCTTGAAAATAGAATTCAGAAAAGATTTCCAAAAGTTTTGTTCTTAAACTTGAAGTTTATAGGTTTCTTCATATTTCTGTCTGCAACGGGGGCTAACCCAGGTTATTTTGACCTGGTGGGTGATCAGCCATTAGAGTTCCTTAGAAGCGAAGTAGAAGGAAAAAGCCATCGGAAAGAGGTCATAGGTCAAGGCTAGGCTGGTGCTCCATACAGTGGGAGTGGGGCCCAGTGGGCGCGGTCAGGAAGCTGGAGATGAGCTGTGTTTACCCCTGGTCCTGGGAGGAAAGGGGCAGCGGTGGATGTTGTTCAAGACAAAATTGTAAGAGGACAGACTCAATCCATAAACAATGAACACATATCAAAAATGTAATTGAACTTATTTACTCATAGAACATCAAGCAAATGTCATAATGTATTTCGAGAAGAAAACTATGAATTTATGTGGAGTAAAGGAATATTACAGGGACCGAGGAGATGGCTCAGTAGAATAAGCGCTTCCCTGGCAAGCTCAAGGGTCTAAGTTCAATCTTCAGTTCTGCCAAACAAAACAAAAAATGAAAAGGAATATTACAGTGTTTGCAAAAGGAAGCAAAACTGGCTTTTCCCATTGGAGCAGGGTGTTCTTCCCTGTGACATGCAATTATGTGTATGTTTGTACATACAGTTATTTGCACTACTATCTGTCATCTATAGTTTGTTTTTTGGGTGGTTTTTTTTTTTTTTTTTTTTTTTTTTTTGGTGGAACCGGGAATTGAACTCAGGCCCTTGCACTTGCCAGGGAAGCACTTATTCTACTGAGCCATCTCCCAGGCCCCTAGTCATCTATAGTTAAAAGGTATAAAATAGCACAAAGCAATGAAAGGAGCAAAACCCCTATAGCACCGGATCATCCTCAAAAGCCCTAGTTTTTTTAAAAATAATTTTTATTCATTTTAATGAGAAAAAAAGATAAAATAGTGATGAAACAGTGTCCAAACAGGTTAGTAGGACATTTACAATAATTAATACATTGCATATTGTCGTTTTCAAAGTAGTTATTCAGAGGACAAGATGCAAACATGCTATCTTGTCTGAACAATATTAGTGCAAACTAGTCAATAATCACATAGTTATACCAAAGTCTTATAGTAACCACGTCCTTCCTCTGGTATCAGTGTACTAGTCAAGTTCCCACATTCTCTGCTTTAAAAGCCCTGTCTAGTCCTAAATATTCTACCCCCAATCCTGTTTTCTATCACTTTGAGGAGTGTGTGACAATCAGATTGTCTAAATACGTTGTTTTTACTTCATATTTTGTCTTTTTCTTAGGATAGTATTTCAAAATTTTATAACTCAGGTGATAACTGAGTGTTCTAATGTAATTGTAAGTTGGCACTTAATTAGCAGTAGCCATTAATTATATAGAGCATACAGAAATCTCACTTCAGGTTTTCTTCTTAACATTGGAGGTAAAGGTTAGTGAATTTGAGTCACCCCATTGGCCCTGAACTGGAACAGTTTTTTCTGTATGGGACATTTGACAAAATCTGCAGATATTTTTGGTTGCCAGAATTTGGTGTGTGAGGCAGAGTACTTTGACACATAGAGGGAGGAGGTTGGTTGTGTTACTTGGCGTCTTATAGTTCCCAAGACATCTTTCCCACTAAAAAATAAACAGGGGCCGGGGAGATAGCTCAGGAACATAAGCGCATGCCTGGTGAGGGCAAGGTCCTGAGTTCGGTCCCTGGTACAAAAAAGAAAAAGAAAAAGAATAACCTGATTCCAAATGAGGTTGAGAAGTCCCAGCACACCACAGAAAAGCCTTAAAGGAATTCTGCCATTTCTTTGTGATAAAATTAAAATAATTTTATGTTCCTAAATCTGTATGGAAGGCATATATTTCATAATGATGGTCTTAATATGTTTACTCTCATTGTCCATTTTAGAAATTCAGCAATAATCAGCTTAACTTTCACTTGAGACAATGACTAAGTGGTAATCATTGTATTTCTCTTACATATGGACTATTTATAATTTTAAAAACTATTTTTCCTGTTTTAGGCTTTATTGAAGAAACATGTTAGAGATTCATCCCATCTCTAAAATAGCAGTATTTACACCTTGGAATTGTCGGCCTTCTTATAAGGCGCATTTGGGAAATTAACATGAACGCTTTCTGTGAAGTTTTAGAGCAGTTGTATAAGAAGGTGCTTCTGGGAGCCACACTTCAAAGTGACAGCCACAATTACGCCTTCTATCTTAACCCCGCACTCTCAGATCAAGGCTACGCTACAGCCCCTTCCTCAGGATGGCTGGAGACCAGTGGGATGCAGAGTGCCTCTCAGCCACCCGCTGCCTCGGAGACTGCTGTTCCTGGGGCAGCCATTTGTGTCAAGAGAAACTCACAGACAAGCAGCGCCCAAGAGACAAAGCTCCTTCAGTTAACTGTGCTCCACGTGATGCTATCGAAGATACTGGCTGCGGAAACTGAGATGCATACAAAGGAGAAATACTGTGATATAACTAAAATTCTTTTACGGTCGAATGAGGTCGATTCTAAGTTGGTAATGCATTTATGTTTTCTAAGATACAGAGATGTAGAGTGAAAGTCCTAAAACATTCAACCGTAGTGATTCAGTGTATTTGCCTTTCTGTAGCTTTGCATGGTCCCAAATGCAGACAAGTTGTTGTCTCACATGGCTGCCAAGTGCCTGGCATTGCTTCTGTATTTCCAGTTGAAAGAAAAGGTAAGAGAAGTAATCAAGGGTGTTACTGTTTCTCTTGGGGTATCTTCAAAGTTGCTCTTTTATGTTTGATTTTGTTCCTTTAGATAAAGACCTTCCTCCTTTAATGAGCAGGTTATAGTCATGCAGCTATGTGACTAGGTCATTAGTTGAGTTGGTTGCTAAATGAAGAGTTGTATATAGTTCGATATGTGCATTAGAGTATTCAAAACAAAGAAATGGTCACAGGAAACTCCAAAGTGATGACTTTTGCTTTTATTTGCATAACTCTTAAAGGTAGTATTGTAATGTATAGCAACATAAACCTACAGTAATATAGTGTACAGTACAGTCAACAAAAATTACAGTTCTGTATTAACAAGGTGTACTGTACAGAAAAAGACATGGAGGCTCTGTAAACAAGATGCACAGAACTGTACAAAAGACAGGTTGTAAGTCAGGACAGTTGTCAAACAGGTCATTAAGCGAGGAGCACCTATGTTGGTATTAATAAAATATTTGCTCGCATAGTAATGTATAAATCCAAAACCATAAGGAATGAAGTAATATGACGGTTGCTAGTGTCAAGAATTACAGTCTTAAATATATTGTAGATCATAATAATTAGACTTTTGACGCAAGAGGTGGGTTTTAGGCCACAGCTTCGTTTCTCTCTCGTCAGTCGCACACCCTCCCTTCAAAGGGTTGGGAGGTGCTACTTGGGATCCAGACCCTTTTCACAGGTTTGATAGAAATCAGATCTACAAATGGTCTGTAGCATAACAAAAAACAATACAAACATACTCCAAGTCAGATTATTTTCTTAATCTCTGAACAAATTAATAAGCAAATCTGAGCATCTACTGACTTAACGTTTTTCTGAACTAAATGGTATATTTATAGTGGTGTGTTTGGGAAATGGAGCAAGTATAAAAAACAAAATAAAAAGCATACTTCATTATACAATTTATAAATAACACTGCTACTATTTTCATGTTTTCTTTTGGTATTTTTATAGCATACTGAATTTCTTGTTTTAAAGAATATTAGGATATTTCTGTTCCTTATTTGATCAAATTTTATCATGCTTTTTTAAGGTAAATAGACAATGTGTCATGCATTGTAGTGTGTATAATAGGTAATTTGTAACCATAATAAATTTTTTTTTTTTTTAAAATTTTTAGTAGTACATGGTTGCAGAACCTAACAATCGCATTCATTGTGGGACGTGGGCACGTACACGTAACACATCTTAATTCTTTTTTGCTACCCTTCTTTATTTCTTCACTTGTAGATACCATTAAGTAGTTCCTGGATTGTTTTTTGCCAAGACAATTTTTCTGAATACTCTGAGAATAATGAAGTAGTACATTGCCTCTGGATTCTTACAGCCGTAATGAAAGAAATCTTTAAGGACACATGTTCAGAAAAAACAGGTATGCCTACGTTGCCCCATACATGACTGTCATCTTGCTCCCAGGAATATTATATTTATAATGGAGAATAAAATGTACATTTGATTTCTTTTTTTTTAAATTTTAATTTATTTATTTATTTGGTACAGGGTCTTGCTACATAGCTTGGACTCGTAGTGATCTTCCTATCTCAGCCTCCCTGGTGCTGGGATTACAGGTGTGCACCACCACGTGTGGTTTCAGTGGCTGGCACAGCAAGTGGTGCTGGGGAGCAAACCTGGGTCTTTGCGCTTGCCAGGCAGGTGCTTAGACTGCTGAGTTATCTCTTAGCCCCCTAACTTCTCTTGAAGAATTTAAAACTGATGAATCTCCACCTATATTTATTTAAAAGAAGATCTTTTTTTTGTTATTAAGTTTACTGGTACAATTTAAGATATAATGATCACATTTATCATGTGGCATTTGTACCTGTCCATGACATATCTTGATTCCCCTTTTTTTCCCATTCTGTTCCCCTTCCTTTGACCCATTCTCCCCTTCTTATTTACAGAGCTTTGTTTCTTCATCTTTCTTTTCTCATTTTTTTCTTTTCCCCTCTTTCCTTTACTTCTCGCTACTCCCTAGTTCTCCTTTCCCTTTGAACAATTTCCTCCTATTGCTCAATATCTATTATACATTTCAACTCTCACTTTTGTTTTCAGTATCTCAACAGCAGAAACAGTGCAATACCTACACATTTGTTTGATTTATTTCACTTAAGAATATGGTTTCCTAGTAACACTTTATTATATATGTATTTATTTAGGGAAAAAAAAAGGCATCTTTTTTATCCATTCATCAGTTGATGGGCATTTGGACTGCTTCCAAGATTTAGCTAGGACACACTGTGTTGCTGTAAGCATGGGTACACATGTGTCACTGTGGTCTGATGCTTTTAATGTTTTAGGGAAGATACCAAGAAGGGTGACAATTCAATCAAATGAGACCTCTAATTTTAAATTTTTGAGGAAGCTCCCCCACTGATTTCCACAGTGGTTGCACCAGTCCACACTCCCACCAAGAGTGGAGAAGAGCTCCTTTTTCCAACAGTCTCACCAGGATTTGGCACTGGTTAATTTCTTGATGATAGCCATTCTTTCTGGAGTAATATGGAATCTCAGGGCCAGGGAGATAGCTCAGTAGAATAAGCGCTTCCCCGGCAAGCACGAGGGCCTGAGTTCAATCCCCGGTTCTGCAAAAAAAAAAAAAGAAAGGAAAAAAATATGGAATCTCAGTGCTGGTGATTCTGAACATTTTTCATGTATTTATTTGCCGTTTATATTTCTTTATCTGAGAAATATGTATTCGTGTCAGATACTCATTTTTGGATTTGGTCTTTAAATTTGAGGGGTCTGACTTTTTCAGTTCTTTGTATATTCTAGATATTAGTCTTTTTCCTGAGGAACAGCTACCTAAAATTTTTTTCCCACTCTGAGTTGTCTTTTTAATATGTTGGCTACTTCTTTGTTATGCAAAGGTTTTTTTAATAAGATGAGATCCCACTTGTTGATTCTTTGCATTATTTACTATGCGACTGCAGATTCATTCAAGAAGTTTTTGTCTGGAGTCCTTATTCTTTCTTCCAGGAGATTTAGTGTGTCTGTTTTAATATTTCTTTATTTTTTCTGTTTTAATATTTAGATCTCCAATCTATTTTTATTTTAATATAGTGTATAGCCACAGGCATGGGTCTAATTTTAGTCTTTCGCATGTGGAAAGCCAGTTTTTCCATCTCCATTTTAACTTCTTTTTAAAGAAAAAAATTAGATGGAAAAATTGAAGCTTTTCATTATTATATGTCTTTCATGGTCTGATATTATTTATGTTTGTAAAATGAATGGTAACCATAGTTCTTAGTTTTTGATCCATGTATTATTTGTTCTTGTTAGGGATAAATATCCAAGTATATGTTTATACTATATTTATAAAAATACTATATTTATACTATATTTACAAAAATTGAATTGTGATTTTTTTTTGAATTGTGATTGTACTTTAAGAAGCCTTTATTTTTTCTGTTGCTTATGATTACTATTCTTACTATTACAGAAATTCTAAAGCAATTCCTGGCTACTTTTGACACTACTTTTGAAGTATTCTACGAGTCCTTATTTTCTCAGCATTTTGAAAACCGTCAGGATCCTTTCAAGATAGTAAATAGCTTAGTAAGTTTCTTGGACTTACTTGAACTTCTAATAGCCTCCAGAATCTACCTGAAGTTACATTTCAAGAGCCAAAGGATTCTGTTTTTGAAACCGTCCTGTGTGCTAGACACTCTTACCTGGCCGATTCAAGCCTTCGTCAAAAGGAAATTGATCATATTTATCAAAAAGTGCCTTCTGTGGAAGGTGGGCGAAGACCTGTGCCGTGCGTCTGTGCCCGCCATGACGTCACCGGACCACCATGTAGATGTGGACATGCTGGCTTTAGCTAACGCTGTTTTGCAAACTGTGAGTCTGGGCTTGCTGAAGACATGGTCTACGCCTGGGAAACGGGCTTGCTTTGGAGGTAACGCAGTTCAGCCTGGATGTGGAGACCTCACCGGGCCGGACCATGTTTTCCTTCGAGCTGCAAGCTTAGTTACAGTGAAGTCCTTGGAAATCAAGTTTCGAGATTATTCCTCTGTGAATGAAATGAAAGGTAATTCTCTAGCCTGTTTTTTATATTATGTAAAATAATATATGATTAATTCATAATTATCAAATTATGGGACTAACATAATTTCCGTTAACTCAAGTTGTATCTTCTCCTAGTTATAATTTATTAAAAATTTCCCCCAGCAAAGAGAAAGCTGAAATTGTTCTTTTTTTTTTTTTATCTTTTTGGTGGCCCCGGAAAACTGAAATTGTTACAAATGTGGACAGCTTTTTGTGGGGCACACTGAATGTAGATGGCACAATAAATGACTTAGGTTTAAAAGTAAGTCACTGTTGAGGAGCTAGAGACAGCCGTTCAAAGTAAAGCAAGATTTCATTTCCAAGCTGGAAAGCCCATTAGGACCGGCGGGGATGTTCCCCAGCGCTCCTCAGGCCTGCGCGAGTCCACCATCTCCCTCCACAAGTAGCTCACGGAAAGCGCCCGTGAGTGCAGCCCTTAAAGATTAAGGAAAGCAAGGTTTTCATTTAATTCCCCTTGCAGTGCAATAAAACGTCTTAAAATGGAGAATGAAGAAAGTGATCAGACTTTTTCAGAGAAACCAGAAACAGAAGAATACTACAGAGTTTCAAGAAAGTTTTAAACACGTAGATCGTGAATCTGAAGAACGGACATACTGGAAAAGTACTCGCAAGAATATCCACGCGTGTGAATCTGAGTCTCTTGGTACTGTGTCGAGCAGTGTTCTCCAAAATGATTTTGTGCATGAGAATCTTAAACAAGGGTTAAAGGAAGAAAAACTAAACTTGGTGAAGCAGGTACAAGAGAAGGGAGACGGGAGGTTGGGTAAGGCGCATGCGCGAGAAGGCCTGTCTGCCCGACCTTCAGCAAAGCGGCTACCATATTCTCTCGGGCGAACGTCGTTGGGCTGTCGGCCTGGGTCTTGCAGCCGCAATGGATTCAAGTCCGAAATATGGCAACTTTGAAAGACATTACCAGGCGACTAAAGTCAATCAAAAACATCCAGAAAATTACCAAGTCTATGAAAATGGTAGCAGCAGCAAAATATGCCCGAGCTGAGAGGGAGCTGAAACCGGCGCGAATATATGGAATAGGATCTTTTGCTCTATATGAAAAAGCTGATATTAAGGTAACTGAAGACAAAAAGAAACACCTTCTCATTGGTGTATCCTCGGATGGAGGACTTTGCGGTGCTATTCATTCCTCAGTTGCTAAACAGATAAAGAATGAGGTGGCCACACTCACGGCAGCTGGAAAAGAGGTTATGCTGGTTGGAATTGGTGATAAAATTAGGGGCATACTTTCCAGGACTCATTCTGACCAGTTTCTGGTGACCTTCAAGGATGTGGGAAGAAAGCCCCCTACTTTTGGAGATGCGTCCGTCATTGCTCTCGAATTACTCAATTCTGGATATGAGTTTGATGAGGGCTCTGTCATCCTTAATCGATTCAGGTCTGTTATCTCTTATAAAACAGAAGAAAAGCCCATCTTTTCTCTTAATACCATTCAAATGCTGAGAGCATGAGCATCTATGATGACATTGATGCTGATGTGCTGCAGAATTACCCAGAGTACAACCTGGCCAATATCATCTATTACTCCCTGAAGGAATCCACCACCAGTGAACAAAGCGCTAGAATGACGGCGATGGACAATGCCAGCAAGAATGCTTCTGAGATGATTGATAAATTGACTTTGACATTCAATCGTACTCACCAAGCCGTCATCACCAAAGAGTTGATTGAAATCATCTCTGGTGCAGCAGCTCTGGATTAATGAAAATCAAGTTCCATCCTCACACAAGAGGTAAAGAAGAAAAATTCAGCAAGCTGATTTTGTTTAGAGCTTACTACTGTCTTGGTCAGAAGAAATGTGGTCCATTGTTTGAATTACTACAGACAGATGTTTATAAATACCTTACAATAAACAACTTATAATAAGAAAAAAAAAAAAAAAGAGAGAGAGAAGGGAGACGTCCTTTGGAGGCTAAACATAGTCAAAATGTATAGACCAAAGAATGACCTGTCTCAATTACAGCTGTTGATGCAGAAGTGGAGAAGCTGTAGCTAGCTGCTGCCTCACGAGCTGCATCAGCTGTGTCTGCAAGGAACAAGACAGTAAGCCTTACTGAACTCAGACTATTACAGGCTGGACAGTAAACTGCTGCACTACAGCAGAAGTGAGGAAGACTTCATAGGTGTTTAATTCATAATGTTTATTCTCTTTTTCTTCTCTTCACATTTTTTGCAGCACTAGGGGATCAGAGCTAGGCGCTTGCGTGCACTCTGCCACTGGGCCATACTCTGGTTCCTCTCCAGCAGATCTCTGAGAATGGCCACTTAATGAAGAGATGCTTAGACACGTTAAAGGGAAGATGCTGGCCATTACAGCAGTGGTGGCGAGCCTGTGGCACATGTGCCATGGCAGGCTGCTTGTGTCAGTGACACTGCAGAAAGGTTCGCCAGCAGCGCACCAGGGTTCAGAGTAACGTGTTTCAACCATCAATTTAGGGCCCTATAAGACATGAATTAAGTCCTAAAATGAAATACAGCATTTTGAATAGACTTACCAAAGAAAATACAACATTAAAGAAAAGTTTAAAGGTAGATTTAGTGGCATTTACCTTTTTGTAACCCGGAAGTATAGGAGCTGACACAGAAAGATGAAAAGTTTGGGCCCTGCCTGGGCAGCTTGCCAAGACCCTGCCCCCACCCCAAAAAAGTTTAGGAATATAGTAAAGACCCTGGGGTCAGTCTCCATGGATGAATGGGCTAGGGACATAGTTCTACGTGAAGGCCCCATTCTGTCCACGCACAAACACCAATTTATAGCGTGTTTTAAAAAATTTGTGGACACTCCTGGGAACTAGTTTTAATACATTGTTTTGGTTTCTTGTGGCAAAAAGTCTTATTTGCAGTGTTTAAAAAAGAGTCCAGTCTGGTGACTGCCTAAACCTAAACTGCTCTAAAAGTTCTCACGGAAGTTTGTGAACCTTGTTTTACTCATTTAGTGCCTTTTGTCATCTGCTGATCTCCAACAACAAATAAAAAATAAAAATAAGGCACTGCTGTGCCATCTCAAAGGGGTAGAAGCTAATTTCTATTCAAGTGTTTGTAGTGTTTTATCTACTTTATCATTCATTTTAGTCGTGCACCTACTTATGTAGATTATTGATAACCATAAATTGAATTGGATATATAAGAAGATATATACTGCATTTTCAGAAGTTCAGAGAATGCCTTAAAAAGTGGGATTTTCAGTATAGGTGTTGAGACAGATATCTCCTACTGCACGGATGAATGGTAACGTCTCAGACAGGCAGCAGACACTTTGCATGGAAACTTTATAAAGTGTCACAAGCAGCTTCCCAAACTGTTTTGGATATCATTGAATTTTTAATAACTACCTATTACTTGTTCTGTGCAAGTATAATTTGCAACACTAGGTGGCATCTGTTGTATAATTTAGAGTTATAATTTACGGTCAAAGTCAAAGTGCTTTTTTTTAATTATTATTTGTTGAGAAACAGCAATGAGACAGTTTCAAAATCGATTAATAGGACAGTTTCAATAATTAATACATTGCATATTGTTATCTTCTTAGTGGTTATTCATAGTACAAGATGCAGACATGATATCCTATCCAAATACTATTAGTACTACTTTCTCTTAATTCAATGAGAAGATTTTTTTGGCTTAACAGTAGTACCTTCTTTTAATAAATATTTTTGCTTTTACAGAAATATTTTTCTGTTATTTTAAAAACAAAACCTTTTATGGTTTGGGTTTCATTATTTTCTTTAGTAATAGTTGTAGGCAATGAACAGATACCTGGTTGTGGTTCATTTATTGATACTGCTTTTGTCAAGAGCTCTAGTAACATTTGTTTCCCAGACTTACTGTAACTAGTTACTCAGCAGCGCTGAGGACACGATCAGTACATTTTGAATGAATGATTTTCATTAAGTCACTTTTCCTGAGCCTCAGTTTCTTCATTTGCAAAACAGAGATCATCCCAACTCACAGGACTTTTTGAAGGTCCAAATTGTGCTCGCCTACTCTAGACCCTTGAAGTATTACCGTATTCATGAATGTTGTCTAAGACACTTTGAAATTTGCATTTTTCAAAGCTGACCTGCAGAGGTTCATGTCTGAGCTACTGACCTTCTTAAAGCCTCACCTTCAGCCCTCTGGGCAACCGCACAACCCGTGTGAATGGCTGTCGGGGGTCTTCATAGAACAAGACGACGATCTGCTGGAGGCCGCCAGCGCGTTACTGAGCATCTACCTGAAGGTGGTCAGGTCAGTGGATTTGAAGTCATTGTCAAGCTTCCTGGCAGCCAGAAACATGGAAACAGTTCAGGAAATGTGCCAGGCACATCACTGACCTTCTGTCACTGGGGGAAAGTCTTGCGGCTTGCTCCTAAATCCCAGCTCCTCTCTGTAACCCGACCTTACTTAGAAACAAGATTGCACTTACATTAGTAGCAGTGTTTGGCTTCTTGGCAGTTTAGGGATGATAGAAGCAGCTTAGAGTCTGGCAGCTCGCATCCCTCTTTAGCCTCCACCTGTGTGACCTGTGTGACCAAGGGTGAGCGAGGATGCTCTTCTGAGTCTCAGCTGATGTTGGAGACCAGTTTTCCACCTCCAAGACTTGCTTTTCTCTGAAAGGCTTCTATAAGTTGACTTTTGTCTTTGTAAAGTGAGTACAAACGTACAAATGATCAAAGGTGCTGCTGCAGATTTTCCCTGTATTACATAGCCACCTTTGGGCTACTACCTTCTTAAGGCATTTATCTGAAATTAGTTATGAAGTTATGTGACTGGTGATATATATATATGTATGTATATAATATATGGGCTTTGTTTCTGCTTAAAATGGCTGTACACACAGCAATATCTTTGTGTAGCAAATATCTATAATTGCTTCTGAAGTTAATCACTAATGACCTTCTCCGCTATTCCTGCTTTGCTTTATTAAAACCCTGAAGTATTTGCTTTATTTCCACTTCTCTCTTGGCTGGGGAGAAAGGGTTTTCTTACTAATGACTGGTGGTGCAGCGTTGTGCTGCCGGTGCTTACTGCGTTAGGACTCTTCTGGCAGGGGCTGCCCTCACACCGTGAGGGCTTTAGGCCAGTTGGAAAGAGCATGAAACTCCTACATGTGATTTGAATTAGGCTCGAAACAGATTAGAAATTGAGCCTGAAGACGCACATGCCTGCCTGGGTATCTTCAGCGCGCTCCATTAACTTCTTGCTCCCCGGGAAAAGGGAGCCTCCAGGTTCAATTTGATTTCTGCGGAAACATCTCACTTTCTTATCTTGAGCTCAGAGCGTCCAGAGAGGTGTATGCTCATGGCATATATAGTTATTTTTAAAAATGTATCAGTGAAGCTTTTTTGCTTGTATATGATGGAAACTAATTAAACTATTTTAAGCAGAAAAATAATGCTGGCTGGTGATTAGGAGTCCTAAGGGATCAAGTTGGCATCAGGTGTAATTATATACAGGGGCTCCAATCATGCCATCAACTGTTTCTCTTTTATGCTGTTTCACAACTCTGAATTTATTCTCGGGTATAGCCACCATAAATCCCAGGTTTATATGGGTCTTATGCTTACAGTCTTTCATAGTGTCAATAGAAGTTTCAGGGGAGATTTGATTAGCCCCTTTGGGTCCAGGTTCTTGTTAGGGCCAGTCATGGCCAGGGCCGTGTGGCACTGATTGGTCAGTCTACCTCACATGCCCAGCTCCACTGAAGGGTTGAGGAAGAAGGTTTAGGCTCCAGGTCCCACCCCTTGCCGTGTAGTAAGCTGACCCTGAATGTGAGGGGTTCTGATGTCAGGAAAGGACAACAGAGGACTTACATTGGACAGACAAAAATTAGACCTGCCAGAGTCAGAGTGTTTATTTTATTGAATCAAATGTAGAGTTGTAGGGCTGGGGAGATGGCTCAGTAGGATAAGCGCTTGCCTGGCAAGCACAAGGGCCTGACAGTTCCACCAAAAAAAAAAAAAAAAAAAAGTTCTTCTACTAATCAGTTTTGAAACTATCTCATTGCTATTTGTTTCTCGATAAAATTATTTTAAAAAAATTTAGAGTTGTAGGGAATGGAATGGTTTTAAATTTTTCTTTTAAAGTAATGCATAGATTAAAAAGTAATCCAATAGGTAAATTTATGGTTTGTTAAAACTGTTATGTTTGTAAAAAGTCACTCATCAGGTTCTCTGTTATCTGCATTTTAGAGAATGCGAAGCTACTGAAAGTGTGACCCAAGAAAAAGAAAAGTGGATCAGTCACACACATGAAAATGGCTATAATCCTCACTGTATTTTCATATTCTTCTTAAAAAATATAGGATTTGATTCTACAGTTCTTCTTGACTTTTTGATCTCATCAGAGACTTGTTTTCTTGAATATTTTGTTAGATACTTAAAGTTACTACAAAAAGACTGGGATGATTTTTTCACCGTTTGCAAAGTCTTTGATGCACCTGTATCTCAGTGTGGCGAAAGTAATTGTGGCTGTGTCCCCGTGCTTGTCCAAGACAGAAACAGCAACCAAACACCACCTCCCTGCGCGGCTGCGGCTGGTAGTCACATTTGTGCTCACACCTGCATTCCCTGGGCTTCTGGCGACTCTTCTGAGCCCCTGAAGCAGGTCGTGATGTCCAAGGAGACCCATGCCACGAGAGATCAGAGTCTGTCTTCTCCTCAGCCCGCTCGAAGTCTGGTGGATTATGACAGCTCTGATGATTCTGAAGCAGAACCCATGGACCAGTGCTTAGCCAACAGCCAAGAGACATTTCTCCACCAACAAGCAAGCGAGAAAATTCAAGACCCGGTTGGGACAAGCAGGGATGAAAGAGAACGTAGCTCAGAGCTCCAGCCAAGCCCTCTCGTTCCAAAAGAATCTATGGCTTCCATCTCTATGGACTGTGACATAGCCCCAAATAATACTCTCTCTGAAGTAGGAGTATTCCACAGCATAGTCAAATGCTTTGAAGAGCTACAAGGTGCCATTTACCGTTTGCAGAAGAAAAATCTCTTTCCGTATAACCCAGCTGCCCTTTTGAAGTTGTTAAAACGTGTAGAGGCAATGTATACTGAAAGTGCTAGCCTTTTGTAAAATGTATTTTATTTCCAGGAGTTGTTCTTCCTTAATATGAATTGTGCATTAATAAGGTAATAGTTTAGAAAGAAAAGCACTGCAGAAGAGTTTTCTGTACAAGTCTTTCTTTTGCCTTTTATATGGGAAGCAGCATAATTCTTGGGAAAGAGACATTAAATGACAAGTTGCTTGGTACACTTGGGTATCACTTGCAAACGATGTGGTTCAAAATTACACAAAATTTAAAAGGTGAAAGATTTAGGCAAGCTGAAGAGAAACCAGAGTATTACAAAATTTAAAATGGGCATTGTATCAGTTCCCTAGGGCTGCCATAACTAATGATCACACCCTTAGCAGCTCGAAACTGAAATTTATTCTCTAGTGGTTCTGGAGGCTAGAAATACAGAATCCAGGGGTCTGCAGGGCCGTGCTTTTCCTCAAGTTCATAGAGAGAGGTCCTCCCCTGCTGCATGCTGGTGTCCCTCGCCTGTAGCAGCACCGCCCCATCCTGTGCCTCTCGTGCCGCTCTCCCGGCAAGCGTGTCTATGTCCACTTTCTGTCTTATGAGGACCCCAGCCACGATACCAGGGCCCCTAATCTAGTCTGACTGCGTGTTAACCTGATCCTATCTTCAAAGACCTCATTTTCAAGTAAGATCCCATTCTCGGGCTCTAGTTGACATGAATTTTGGAAAGACACTTAGTGTAGTTATTATTTCTCTGAACTATTTACATGTAAAGTGTTAAGTGGAAAAAAACTAGAGATAATTCATTCTGTGTACATGGTCTGCTCTATGAACATAACCATTTAGTCAGCATATCATATTTGTACTTCACGGGGTATAACATTACAGTTTGATACATTATATAATGTTTAATAACCAAATCAGAGTAATCAATATTTACAAATCCTCTGTTTTTATCAATTCATTGTATAAGGAACCTTCAAACTCTTGATGAAGTAATTTTAAAATGTATCTATTGTTGTAGAATGTGGTTACACTACTATGTTATAACATTAGAACTAATTCTCTCCCTAAATATATTAGTTACCTGTTATCCAACCCACCTCTCCCTTTCTCCTACTTTCCTGGATTTTAATGTATGTGATCAACTTTTTTAGCTTGAGAATAACTAAATTGTGAGAATAGCTAAGCATTTATTTCTCTGTGCCTGGCTCACCTCATGTAACATTGTCCTCTGATTCCTCGCATCTTGATTCAATGTTACAGTGATAGAATTTTTTATTTTCAATGGAACAACATCCTATTGTGTATATACAGTATTACATTTCCTTTATGCATTTTTTCATCAATGGATGTCTTGACTGATTCTGTATCTTAGCTATTGTGCCTAATGCTGCAAATAAACATGGGCATGCAGATACCTCTTTGCTACGGATGTAATATCCTTTGGATGTGTACCCAGTCCTCGGATTGCTTGGTCACACAGTAGTTCTGTTGACAATTTTTGGAGAAATCTCCCTATTATGTTCTGTAATGACTTTACTAATAATTTACATTCCCACCCAGAGGGTGTGAGCTCTTTCTCCACATTCCCTCCTGCTTTTTTATTATTTTTAGTTTGTCTTTTTGGTAGTATCCATCCTAAGGAGAATAGCATGTTGTCTCATTGTGGCTTGTCACAACTACTAGTGTTGTACTGGTTTTTGGTGATTTTTTTTTTAATTAGTTGTTAGTCCTCTGCAGGTCTTTTGCCTATAATGTTGTGGCATTTGAGTTGCTCATGGATTCTAAATATTAATCTCTTTTCTGTTGTGTATAATTATTTCCTCCTGTGCTGTAGCTCATCTCATTATTCTGTTGGTTGTTCCTTTGCCATGCACAAGCTTCTTGGCTTGATACAATTCCATCCTAGGTTTGCTTTCATTACTTCTTTTGGGTCTTTTTAAAAATCATTTATTTATATATTTATTTATTTATTTGGTACAGGGTCTTGCTACACAGCTTGGACTCATAGTGATCCTCCTGTCTCACCCTCACCAGTGCTGAGGTTACAGGCATGTGCCACCATGGCCAGCACCAGGGGCCAACATGGCATGCAGGATTGGGGATCAAACTCAGGACCTTGTGCTTGCCAGGCAGGCAGTTGGACAGCTGAGCTATCTCCCCAGCCCCTTTGGGGTCTTAGCCAAATTATTTTTGCCAATACCAATGTCTTGCAGTGTTTTCCTATAGTTTGAGGTCTTACATTTAAGTCTTTACTCCATTTTGAGTTGATTTTTGTATGGTAAGAGAGATCTAACTTCATTTATTTAAATATATGTGTCTGGGTTTTTTTTTCCCTATATTTTTAGGGAAGGGTCTACAGGGTGTTCAGGGTCTCACTACTAGATTGGACTCATGGTGACCTGCTTGTTTATAGCCTCCCAAGAGATGGGATTACAGGTGCGTGCCACCACACCCAGTCTCAATTGCCATCTCAGTGCACCCTGGGGGCAGGGCCAGCATGGCAGGCCTTGGGATTGAACTCCCAGCCCATTTGGCTGGCCCCTGTATATCCAGTTTTGCCAATACCATTTATGCAGAAATCATTCCCAAATAACTGTTCTTGATGCTTTTACCAAGAATCAGTTGGCTGTAAATATGTAGGTAAATTTCTGAGTTTGTTATTTAGTTCTACTGGTCTGTGTGCTGGTGCTTATAACTGTATCATGCTGTTTTGATTACTGAAGTTTTGTGCATGTTTTGAAGTCTGGTGTTGTGATGCCTTCCGTTTTTGCATATGATTCTTATTTAAAATTGCTGTGAAATAAAATTAAATATTCAAAAACAAAATAAATTTGCTGTGCAAGTCCAGGCCTGTAATAACAGCTACTTTGGCAGCTGAGGCAGGAGGATGGTGATTTTGAGGCTACCATAGGGCGCATAGTAAGACCTTTCTCAAAAGCAAATGTAGTTGTGACATGAATAATTATTCTGTCTTATTGAGGAAATTGGTAACTCCAGTTTTCATGGTTATCGGATTTATATACTATGAATAGCAACTGTATTGTGCAAGTGAATTTATCATTAAAATATTTTGTGACTCTTGTAGAGAAATACAAGCAACAGTAATCCCACTAGACATAACATTTGGTTTGATATTTGATCATGTATAGTGACCAAGATAGGCGGTGTTAGCCACATGTGTTGGTACACAGCTGTAATCCTGTGTGCTGGGAAGCTGAGGCAGGAAAATCTCAAGTTTGAGCCCAAACTGGGCAACTCAGCATTAGTTATCTCAAAATTTTTAAAAAATGGTTGGGATATAGCTCAGTGTGAAGGCCCTGGGTTTAATCTCCAGACCACCAAATGCACAAAACAGCCTATATTAACTGAACAGAGAGTCAAAAAGTGCGGCAACACACTTGGTAAGGATGTGCACTGAGTCAGTTTCTGCCATCCTTTCCTTATTTTTGCGCTGCCTAAACTGACCTGTAATTCCTGGGTTTGTCCAATCCTGAGTTAGCTCCCACAGGGACAGGGACTATAGACATGCACCACTGTACTCATCTGTGTCATAAGTGTAAGAGCACATCAAAGATATGTTCAAGTATGTTCAATTGTTTGTAAAAATAAAAGACTGGAAATACTGGGTTAAGTCCGTGTGTGTGTGTGTGTGTGTGTGTGTGTGTGTGTGTGTACTGGAATACCACCCATCTATAAAGAATTGGCGAGCCCAAGCCCAGGCCCGGCTAGTATGTGAGAAAGCTTCCGATTCCTCTACACCCATGGGATGTCTCCTAGCGCACTCTCTGGACTCCCGAGATCCAGCCCAAGCCCAGGCCCAGCAAGTGTGTGGGAGAGCTTCTGGCTCCCCTGCACCTGTGGAACCTCTCTGGACCAAACCCAGGCATGCCGCATGAGTGAGACCCTCTGCTGCACCCTTGGGACCCCTCTACCGTTCCAGAGCCCCCTCAAGCCTACCAAGAGAATGAGAACTTTTGCTATGCTCTCAGGACCCACCAGATCCAGCCCAAACACAGGCCTGGCTAGTGTATGGGAGAGCTACTGTGCTCTCTTGTACCCCCTGAACCCCTTGAGACCTAGACCAGGCCTGGGGTGAAACTCTGCAGTTGAAGTCCCTGCAGAGAGACTAGGGGCCAGAACCACCAACTAATCCAGGAGCAGAACATCTTGCCAGAGGGGTACAATAGGTTCACTTCAAAGGGCTGCGCCAGGGAGGAGCTGACCACAACAGCTAGACCCAACCCACGTTCAATTGGTTTAACTGAAACTGAATAGATCTGCACCTGAATTTCAGTAGGTGCTAAGGTTATAACTGCACTGAAGGTCTACACCAAAGGTCAGAGGTCAATGCTATATGAAATGACAAACGGAGCAAAATGCAATCTCAAGGCCCGAGCCCACCCAGAGCAAGTGCAGAGGACACTGGCACAGAAGAAATTGGGAATCACACAGCTGAAATGTCCGAATCAATAGCATCTGAATTAAAGAAACAACTGCAGAAAGGAATAGAGGAACTCAGATCAGAAATAACCTCTGAAATGAAAAAAGAAATCTCTGAATTAATAGCATATGAGGTTAAGAATCAAATGCAGAAACATACAGAGTAAATCAGATCAGAAGTAATCTCTGAATTAATAACTGCTTCCCAAGAAGACACTGATAAAAAAAATAGAGATTAGAAAAATTATGGATTCCTTGAATGAGCAATACAGGAAAGAAATAGATCGCATGAAGCAGAATCAAAGAGATATAGAGGAACTTAAAATCTCAATCACAAGCTTGCAAAACCATTTGAGTGAATGTGAAGATAGAGTTTCAGATCTTGAAGATGCCATCGCAGCTAGTGAAAAGGTAAGAAAAGATCTCTTAATAAAACTAGGATGCAGGAAAACATAATTCATCACCTGCAAGACGATGCAAAGAAGAACAACGTGAGACTAATAGGCATCAATGAGAAAGGAGTCAATACAAATAATATGAGAAGAATATGGGCAGAAGTAATAGCAGAAAACTTCCCAAATATGAGGAAATAATCTAATATTCAAGTAACCGAAGCATACAGAACTCCAAGTAACTTCAACCCAATTAAAAACACACTGGGACATATAATGGTCAAGATCCCAGAAATCCAGCACAAGAACAATATACTGAAAGCTGCTAGAGAAAAGAAACATCACATTTAAAGGAAAACCCATCAGAATTATGGCAGACTTCTCTTCACAAACCATGAAGGCAAGAAGAGCATGGAGCAGAGTACTTCAAGTCCTCCATGAAAACAAATTCCAACCCAGAATACTATACCCTGCAAAACCTTTCAAGTTTGATAGAGAAGTGAAATGCTTCCATGACAAAGAACAATTAAAGAATTTTGTGATGACTAAGCCAAGCCTACACAGACTACTGAAAGATGTTCTAGAGAGGGACCAAAATGATCAGAACTCCATGAATGAGAACAGAAGGAACCCACTAAATAGGGCAAACAAACACAGGAGAAAAAGGACTAAACAGCAAATAAATAACATGTCAATTGCAAGTAAATACATCTCAATTATAACGATCAAAGTAAATGGACTCAGTTCATCAATTAAAAGAGACTGTCACAGTGGATTAGGAAACAAAATCCAACAATATGCTGAATACAAGAAATACACTTAACTCATAAAGAAATTCATATGCTGAAAGTCAAAGATGGAGAACAATACTACGTGCCCCAACTCCTCAGAAAAAAAAGCAGGGGTAGCAATCCTGTTGTCAGTCTCAACTTCAAGAATGATCAAACAAAATAAAGAAGGGCACTATATACTGGTTAGGGGAAAAATTCAAGAAGAAGATGTAACACTCGAATATGTACACGCCAAACATGGGAGCACCCAACTATATAAGACAAATCATAATGGACATGAAAAGTCTAATATCCAATACCACAATCTTAACAGGAGATCTTAACAGCCCCTTATCCCAAAAGATAGGTCAACCATACAAAAACTTAGCAAAGAAGTAGAACTGGACAAGAGCTTGAAACAAATGGACTTGGTGGACATATACAGAATGTTCCACCCAAACACAGCTGAATACAGATTTTTCTCAGCTGCACGTGGGTCATTTTCTAAAATTGACCACATACTGGTCCATAGGTCATGCTTAAGTATATGTAAGAAAACAGAAATTCTCCCATGCACATTATCTGACCACAGTGCAATGAAACTGGAAATAAACGACAAAAGAAGCCAGAAAACCCTCATAAATACATGGAAATTAACACTACTTAGCAACCAATGGGTCACAGATGAAATTAAACAAGAAATTGAACAATATCTAAAATTCAATGAAAATTTAAGCACAACTTATCCGAATTTATGGGATGTGATGAAAGCAGTTCTCAGAGGGAACTTTTTATAGCTGTGAATTAACACATTAGGAAAACAAAATGGGAACAAATAAACACCCTAATATTGCACCTCTAACATCTAGAAAAGAAAGAGCAAACCAAACCCAGAGCCTAAAGATGGGAAGAAATCATAAAGATTAGAGCAGAAATTAATTCAATTGAGACAAAGAAAACAGTTCAAAGAATTAACAAATCAAAAAGCTGGTGCTTTCAAAGGTTAAATAAAATTGATAAGTCCCTAGCTAACTTCATCAAAAAGAAGAAAGAAAAAATTCACATACAAGTAATAACGAATGGAAAGCGTGTAATTACTACATACCCAGTGGAAATTCAGAATATCCTCAAAGGCACTTTGAAAATCTTTACTCTCACACAATGGAAGGCACAGAAGAAATGGACAGATTCCTAGAAAGGTACAAATTACCAAATCTGAATCAAGAAGATATGTCAACTCTCAGTAACCCAATAACAGCCAATGAAATACAAACTGTAATAAAAAAAAAAAAAACCTGACGACAAAGAAAAGTCCAGGCTCTGATGGATTCACAGCTGAATTCTACAAGAAATTTACAGAAGATATAGTCCCTATACTCCTCAAACCCTTCAATGA